TAAGTATCATTCCACTAATTTCTTCTGGTTCAAATCCTTCAGTATCTTGTGATTTTGGGTTATAAACTTGAATATAAGCACTTCCATTATCTTTTCCTTTTATTTTAAATGGCCAATGTTCACGATCATCATAACTAACATCACTTTCATCTCTTCCTATTATTCTCTTAGAGTCATAAATAGCACATTCAGTATTAATATCACTTTTAGCATTACTTCCTATAAGCGTATAACCACTCTTATCGAATTGTGAAATACTAATCCATGATGCTACTTGTTCTTTTCCTGATTCATCTTGAAGTACAACAGGTTCCCCTTTAACAGGGTCATAATAAGCAACAGAAGAGAAGGTAGTTCCCAAGTCAATACCAATTGAAAATGAATTTTCTTCTACAGCCATTAAATGATGATTATAAGTTCGTTTTCACTTTATATACTTTTAGTTTTGTTTTAATACTTCTATTAATAATCATTTCTATTTTAATTTTTACTAACTTTATTTAATAAAAATAAACGTCATTAATCAATTTTTAAATTAAAAAATTGAAAAATATTTGAAACATCCATTGATTGGCTAATTCTTGATATTTAACACTTTCTTAAGGTGTCACAAATTCTTACTTAATGACATCCTTTCAACAAATAATTGTTCTATCACAAATTGAAAGGAACAAACAGAGAAGTATGACTTTGTAATAGACCTTTCAGAAAAGATATGACATTGCTAAAAATTTAACAAAGTTGAAGAAGAAAATCTAACAACCCAAATGTAATGACGGAGATAATAACTCGTTACAATACCATTGCCTTAAATGAAATCACGTTAATGATTAATTAATCAATGAAATGATAAAGAGAACAAATCTTGTTTGTAAAGACATGCCTAATTTATGCTTAAGTTTTGAGTCAATAAGCAAAAGATTATTTGCTGAGAAATAATGTAACATTGATTTACAGTTTATTGTGTAGTTCGAATACTTTAGACTTTTAAGTTAGTAATACAAATAGGTTATATTATAGTTTTAAACTTATAATAATTAATAAAAAAGGATAAAAAAAGATAATGAAATAAGAGATACACTTGAAAAAGTATCAAATTTGAGGGTTCAAAGAATAAATTAGATAATAATTATTAAACTATCTGCATAACCACTACTAATACTACAACAAACATATAATAAAAATACAGTAACGCAATATAATATTCCAATAGAACAGGTGGCAACAAAATTCAATAAAATTAACCAAAGAATAGTGTAGCGTTGATAGCTGAACTTGATATAAGAAAACAAACAAGAAGAGAGTAAAACAAAACAAGAAGAATAAAGAAAATAAACAAAAAATAAAGAGAGTAATAAGATAAACAATACTAAAACAACACTTCATAATTGAGTTAATTAAATAAATAATAAAATTTATGATGAAATTATATTAAATATTAAAAACAAAAAAAAAGAAATAAATGATGGAATTTGATATTGTTCAAAAATAATAAAAAGTGTTATAGATTTGATTGAAATAATTTATGATACAACTTTGAATAGAAAAGAATTTATTTCAACTAACTTAGAACAAAGTTTAAGAAACAATGAAGAACTGACTGTTTTTGTTTTATTTGATTTTGTTATTATTCAAATAAGAATTTGTAACAATACTATCTTTTAATATTTTAAAAAAGTATTTATGAGAATACTAATAAAAGGGAAGAATTGTTGTTAACATAGCCAAATAGTAATTCAACTATCTCTCTTAAAAATAATTGAAATAACTTTAAAGATGAAATAAAATTAATAGATTTCGATTTTTTTATTTTTTAATAAAACTATTAATAGAACACTATTTTAAAAAAGAAAAAAAAATAAATAGAAATTTTATTGGTGAAAGTTCAAAATGAAATTAATTAAAAGATATAATAAAAAAAAACTATAAACAATAGAAAAAAGAATTAGAGAAGTAAAAATAGAATGAACTTCAAAATCATAAAACATAACAAATGTCTGAAGGTTATCAAGTTGTTATCATAGGAGAAGGTTCAGTAGGGAAATCTGCTTTATGTTTACAATTTGTACGAGAAGTCTTTTCTGTAGAATATAGTCCAACAATTGAAGATACTTATAATAAAACTATTAAAGTTGATTCACATACAGTAACGTTTAATTTGATCGATACTGCAGGACAAGAAGAATATGTTGCTTTGAGAGAACAATATTATTTAAAAGGAGATGGATTTGTATTAGTTTATTCTATTGAAAATAAATCATCATTTATGGCAATTGGAAATCATAAAGACAGTATTTCCGTTATTAGACCTGATGGAGATGTTGCTTTAATTCTTGCTGGAAATAAATGTGATTTAGAGGAACAAAGGGTAGTGTCAAAAGCTGATGGAGAGGCATTAGCTAAGTCATATGGAATTGATTTCTTTGAGACATCTGCTGCAAAAAGAATAAATGTTGATGAATTGTTCATAGCACTCGGAAGAAAATTACTTCAAATTAATCATAAAGGTGAAGATGCACCAAAGACATCTTCCCCTTCAAACGAGAAAAAATCTGAAAAGAATGAAAAGCCAAAGAAAGAAAAAGGAAAAAAGAAAGGAGGTTGCGTTATGGTTTAATCACATTTTCTTAATTTAAACGTTGTTTTTGATTTTTCATTTTTTATCATTAATTTTTATTCTTTATTCTTATTATTCTATTTCTATAACACAAGAATACCACGAAAATCATATATAAATAATTATGTACCAAGAAATAGACTTAGAAGACATTATCAATATTATAACTATAATCATTATCAACAAAATAATAGTCCTAATCAATTTAATAATAATTATCATATTTATAAATATAATAGTACATTCTCAAAAATCACAATTATAATAAAAAGAAAAGTAATTGTTATAACCACAAATACTATAATGTAGGTTAAATGTTTAATCAATATTATTATGAGAATAAATAATGTAAAAGATATAGAAATAAAAGATATTACAAGAAAAGATAAGGAAAGAAAGACAAAAGAAAAAGAATAAAAAAGGTAAGAAAGAGAACTAAGTAAAAAGAAGAAAAGAAGAAATAATAAAAGAATAAGAAATAGAAGAATAAAGAAATAATAGAAAGATA